GCACACCTACCTCAAATATGGTCAGTGGGGGGACACGGGGGGACCTGGACACATGGATGGACATGGGGACATGGGGGGATGTGGACACATGAGGACCTGGACACGTGAGGATGTGGACACCTGAGGACATGGGGGCATGGGAGAACCTGGACACGTGAGGACCTGGACATATGGGGGGACCTGGACACGTGGGAACATGGACATGTGAGGACATGGATATATAAGGACATGGGGACGTGGACACACGAGGACCTGGACGCGTGGGGACATGGACGCATGGGGACATGGACACATGGGACATGGGGACGTGGACACATGGGCCCTGGTGCCACTGGTGCCGTTGGTGCCGCCGTCCCCCAGGCGCGCTGCGGGACGAGGGCCGCGCGGCGCTGGAGCAGCTCCTCAGGTTCATGGGCCACCCGGCCATCTCCAGCATCAACCTGACGGCCGCGCTGGGCGCCCTGGCCACCATCGCCCGCCAGCGGCCGCTCTTCATGGCCGACGTCATCCAGGCCTACGAGACCCTGCACGGTAACGGGGCCACCGCGGGGTGTCCCCCGGGATCCCACCTGCCACCCACACCATCATCCGAGCGTCCCAGGTCTCCATGACCCAGCACCCACCTCCCATCCAGTCCCGGGATCCGGGTGTCCCATCTCTCCGTGACCACCCATCCCATCCCAAAGTCCAGGTGTTCCATCTTTGGTTCTTCTGGGTCTACGTGACTCCCTAGTCATCCAAATGAAGACCTAAGTGATCTAGATGTACGTGACCCAGCACCCACCTTCCATGCCCACCGAGATCCAGGTGTCCTGGGTCTCCATGACCCCCTGGTCATCCAGAGGAGCACCCAAGTGTCCAGGTTGCCCGAGACCCCACACCTTCCTTCCATGCCCACCGAGATCCAGGTGTCCCAGGTCTCCACCAACCCACCCCAAGATCTAGGTGTCCCCATGTCTCCATGACCTCCTGGTCATCCCGACGAGCACTCAAGTGTTGTCCAAGATTCCACACCTCCATCCCATGCCCACCAAGATCCAGATGTCCCCATCTCTCCATGACCCCCTGGTCATCCCGATGAGCACCCAAGTGTCCGGGTTGTCCCAGACCCCGCACCTCCCTCCCATGCCCACCAGRATCCAGGTGTCCCAGGTCTCCACCCCAAGATCTAGGTGTTCCCATGTCTCTAGGACCTCCTGGTCATCCCGATGAGCACCCAAGTGTCCGGGTTGTCCCAGACCCCACAGCTCCCTCCCATGCCCACCAAGATGCAGGTGTCCCGGCTCTCCATGACCCCCCCCCGAGGTCCCGGTGTCTCCATGACCCATCCCGCCCCGCAGCCAACCTGCCGCCCACGCTGGCCAAGTCGCAGGTGAGCAGCGTGCGCAAGAACCTCAAGCTGCACCTGCTGAGCGTCCTGCGGCACCCGGCGGCGGGCGCCTTCCAGGCGCAGATCAGCACCCTGCTCCTGGACCTGGGCACCCAGCAGGCCGAGATCGCCCGCAGCCTCCCGGGGCCGCGCGACGCCCGCAAGCGGCCCCGCGACGAGCCCGACGCCGCCCTCAAGAAGAGCAAGATGGGTGAGGAACCTCAACGGGGCTGAGGAACCTCAACGGGGACGGGTCTCCTCGACCCGTCCCGTGGGCTCCCGGTGGAGCCGGAGCTCCTCCTGCCTGSTTCTCCGGGTTCTTCTGGAGCACCCATGGGTGCAGTCGCCCCCGCTGGGGCATTTCTGGCTCCCGGGGGACACTTGGTGGCGATGTGAAGCCCCCAAGGTCCCCAGCAGCTCTTGGGGGTCTGATGGGGTGGCCTAGAGAGTTGGGGGACCTGGATTGTGGTGGGTGGGGGGTCATGGAGAACCGGGATACCTGGATATTGGGTCTGGAGAGGAGGTGGGTGCTGGRTCCTGGACATCTAGGACCCTTGGGTGCTTGTCTGGATGGTCAGGGAGACCCGGGACCCCCAGATGGTGGCCAGGATGGGCGGTGGGTGCTGGGTCATGGTGGCCCAGGTGACACCGTGGTCCTTGTGTCTCCCCGCCCCCCTGCAGAGCCACCCCTGGGTGAGGACGATGAGGACAAGGAGCTGGAGGCGGCACCCAAGGGTGGTGGCACCGGCGGGTCCCCGTCCGACACCGACGTCACCGCCGAGTTCCTGCAGCCGCTGCTGACGCCCGAGAACGTCGCCAACCTGGTGGGCGCCGCTGCGGGCACCCAAGGGACCCCACGGGGGCGTCCCCAGGTCCCCTTGGTGCTCCTCATGGTGCTCCTTGTGGTGGACCTGCCCCAGGCCATGGCCACCTCCTTGCAGGACACCCAAGGGACCAACCCATGGAKGTCCCCATGTCAAAGGACTTCCTTGGGGTGTCCCATGGGTGTCCCTGGGTCTCCTTGGTGCTCCTCAGCATGGTGGACCTGCCCCAGGCCATGGCTACCTCCTTCCAGGCCACCCAAGGGACCAACCCATGGAGGTCCCCATGTCAAAGGACCAATCCATGGATGTTCCCATCTCAGGGGACCTCCTTGGGGTGTCCCACGGGTGTCCCATGAGTGTCCTCCTCCCGCAGATGCTCCTCAGCATGGTGTACCTGCCCCAGGCCACGCCCACCTCTTTGTAGACACCCAAGGGACCAACTCATGGATGACCCCATCTCCAGGAACCTCCTTGGGGTGTCCCACGGGTGTCCCATGGGTGTCCTCCTCCCGCAGGTGCTCATCAGCATGGTGTACCTGCCCGAGGCCATGCCCGCCTCCTTCCAGGCCACCTACACGCCGGTGGAGTCGGCCGGCACGGCGGCGCAGATCAAGCACCTCGCCCGCCTCATGGCCACCCAGATGACGGCGGCCGGGCTGGGCCCCGGTGAGTCCCCCCGTTGTCCCCCGACGTCCCTACGGGTCCCCAAGGACCTCACGTGTGTCCCCCTCCCCGCCCCGGCACCCACAGGTGCCGAGCAGGCCAAGCAGCTCAAGGAGGAGCCCAAGGAGGAGCGGGCCACCAAGGTGGAGAACGTGGTGATCAAGAGGCGCCTGTCGGCGCTGGCGCAGGGCCAGGCCATCGCCGTGGTGGGCGCCGCCGGGGCCACCGCGGGGGACAACGAGGGCGAGGAGGCGCCGCAGGCCAAGCGGCGCCCAGAGCCCATCATGCCCAGCGCRCAGCCCAGGTGAGCGGGCGGCCGGCCGGGTCACACCGCGTGGGGACCATCCAAGGGGTGTCCCATCACGTGGGGACCATCACAAGGGGTGTCCCACCACGTGGTGTCCATCACCCAATGGGTTCCCCAAGGTGCCACCACGTGAGAACCATCTCCTGATGGGTTCCCCAAGGTGCCACCATGTGGTGCCCATCACAAGGGGTGTCCCACCACGTGGTGTCCATCACCCAATGGGTTCCTCAAGGTGCCGCCACGTGAGAACCATCTCCTGATGGGTTCCCCAAAGTGCCACCATGTGGTGCCCATCGCAAGGGGTGTCCCACCACGTGGTGTTCATCACCCAATGGGTTCCCCAAGGTGCCACCATGTGGGGACCATCCCAATGAGTTCCTCAAGGTGCCACCACGTGAGAACCATCTCCTGATGGGTTCCCCAAAGTGCCACTATGCGGTGCCCATCACAAGGGGTGTCCCACCACGTGGTGTCCATCACCCAGTGGGTTCCCCGAGGTCCCACCATGTGGTGCCCATCACCCAGCGGGTTCCTTGAGGTGCCACCACACAAAAACCATCTCCTGATGGGTTCCTCGAGGTGCCACCACGTGGTGTCCTTCACCCAATGGGTTCCCCAAGGTGCCACCACACAAGAACCATCTCCTGA